AAGCAGAAAAAGCCAGAAGTTGTGCTGTGGCTCAAGTGGAAGAGCACTAGCCTGAGCTGAATAGCTGAGGGACAGCGCCCAGGCCCAGAGTTCAGGCCCACGACCGACCGACAGACAGACAGACAGACAGACAGACACACACACACACAAACAAAAACAAAAAATTGGGACTGGTAATATTAAAGATGTTACATATATGAGACAATATTGGACCAATTTCAAATTTGGGAGTTTGTTTTACTATTTATTTTTACATACTATAGTAACTGACTTCTACCATATATTCTCTGAGTCAAATACATGTACTGTATGGGTGGAAAAGTTCTCAATAATACAGAAATTCGAACATTTGTTACCTTGTCCTGAAGGGTTTGCTGCCATATTCCGTTCTTCTGCTTCAGTTATGTTCAGTGGCAAATGATCAGCACTTTATAGTCATCTGTAAAAGAGACATGTGTAAAAGACACATACAGGATATAGTTGTCAAGAACAGCGAGCCTACTTGCAGTTTCTTAATTGCTTCATAAAGACACATTCCAAAAGCAGACTTAAGTCACAAATCTAAACTTAACAAGTGTCTCAAGCATTTTCTTTTTTTTGCCGGTCCTGGAACTTGAACTCAGAAGTCCTGGGCACTGTCCTTGAGCCTCTCTAGCTCAAGGCTAGCAGTCTACCACTGAGCCACTTCCAGCTTTTTCTGTTTATGTGGTACTGAGGAATGGAACCCAGAGTTTCATGCATGCTAGGCAATCCTCTACCACCAAGCCACCTTCCCAGCGCCCTCAAGCATTTTCTTGAGAGTCACTTTTTCTACTTACAGCTGTGCCTCTATCACTTGAGTCATACCTCTAGTTCTCACTTTTTAAAAAATTGTATTCTTAAGGTATTTTACAGAGGAGTTACCGTTTGATAAGTCAGGCAATGCGTCCTTTTTTTTTTTTTTTGGTCCGTTGTAGGACTTGGAACTCAGGGCCTAGGTGCTGTCCCTGAGCTTTCTCACTTACCACTTTGAGCCACAGTGCCACTTCCAGTTTTCTGGCGGCTCACTGGAAATAGGAGTCTCGTGGATTGGCTTTAAACTGTGATCTTCTGCTCAGAACTCAGCCTCCTGGGTAACTAGGATTACAGGCATGAGCCACTGGCAACTAGCTTATGAGTACATTTGTTGGGGTTTTTTTTTGTCAATCATGGGGCTTGAACTCTGGGCCTGAGTGCTGGCCCTCAGCTCTTTAGCTCAAGGCTAGTGCTCTACCACTTGAGCCATAGCACCACTTCTGGTTTTCTGATGGATAATTGGGGAAAGTCTCACAGAGTTTCCTGCCCGGGCTGGCTTTGAACCGAATTACTCAGATCTCAGCCTCCTGAGTAGCTAGGATTACAGGCGTGAGCCACGGGTGCCAGGCCTTGGTACATTTCTTTTTAGACAATGTCACCCCTTCTTTCCTTCCTTTGTTTTCCCCCAGTTTCCCCTTCCTCCACTCTTAAAAAATGTGTTTTAAATAGTTATACAAAGCAGTTTCAATGCTGTAAGTCAGGTTGTAAGTATAGTGCATCTCGTTCCTTGCCACCCCTTCTGCTGTTTTCTCCCATCTCTTTCCTCAAGTTAAGTAGTCAGTTCCCACTTTTTGCTAGTTAACTGGAGGTAAGAATCTCTCAGATTTGTGCTGGCTTTTAACCTCAGATCTCAGCCTTCAGTGTAGCAAGGATTATAGGCAAGAGCTACCAGCATCCAGCAAACATTGTTTATTCTTTTTTTTCCACCCCCCCTTCCAGTCCTGGGGCTTGAACTCAGGGCTTGGGTGCTGTCCCTGAGCTTCTCTGGCTCAAGGCTAGTACTTTACCACTTGAGCCACAGCGCCACTTCCAGCTTTTTCTGTGTATGTGGTACTGAGGAATCGAACCCAGGGCCTCATGCATGTGAGGCAAGCACTCTACCACTGAGCCACCTTCCCAGCCCACATTGTTTATTCTTGAAGGCAGGACTACTAACATTTAGAAATACTCTCTTTAATATACATCACTAGGTTGCATCTACCAAATATTACCAAATATACTAACCCACTGACAGCCTCCACAGGACCACAATGCTAGAAAGTAAAATCACTCATCTATAGTGCTTCTGCTTCCCTAGCTGTTACCAGCAACTACTGTATTCTCTGAAAGCTAGAAAGAAAAATAAGCCTACCATTTATCAAATACCTATTCTGCGATATATACCGTTACTTGCTTGAAATTGGTTATTTTATTTATGACCACTTTACACGTGTGGAGGCTGTCACAGGGCTAGTAAGTATAATTCTGGGCTGCTCCCTTCCAACATCAGCGTTTTTATACTAGGCCCTAGGTAGATTCCTAAATAATTAGACCTTACTTCTACTTTCAAGGAACACAGAGTTCGGGGGGTGGGGTGGGGGAGAAGTCTTATCCAAGCAACCATACCAAAACAGCTTATTAAGAGGTGTGCACAAAGCCGGTGTAGTGGCTCACGTTTACAACTAGCAGTCCAGAGGAAGGAGGATTGCAAGTTGGAGGCGAGCCTGGGCTACGCAGTGAGTGAGACCCGGTCTCAAACAGGTGTGAACAGTGCTTTCGGAGAACGGATGCTACTGGAGTGATGCGTTGATGCCTGCAGGAGAGGCCGGGAAAGGTAGAGGCCGGAGGCCCGAGGCTGGCTCCGTACAGGAATCGCGGATGGTCTCCTGCGGCTGAAGCACAAGGGAAGCGGAGCTGGGTTAGGACGGGCGGGCCTCGCAGCCGTGTGGCTATGGTAACGTGAGGCGGGGGTGTGAGAGGCCGGCACGGGTCCCGGCCCCCGACGGAGCGCAGCCCCGGCGCTGGTGGCTTCGCCAGCGAGGCTGGTGGAGGAGGCCGCTTCTCGGAGGCAACAAAGATAGCGAGCCAACCGCATGTCCACACGCCTCCATTCCCTGGCGCTGCCGGGCTGTCCTACTTACCGGGGACGCCAGGATGCCCGGGAAACGTCGCTGTCGCCCCGCGGCTGTCAAGGGGGGCGCGACCACTCAGAGCCAGGGAAACCACAGCGCCGTTCACGACTACAACCTTCCCGCCCGCGCTGCGCTTCCGCCTCCTGGCTGACGTAGGCCCAGGAGAGCGGAAGTCCCGCCTACCGTGGAAACCCAACAGACCCGACTCCGCAGCGATTCACATTTTAATGGCTGCCTCCGTGCAGACGTGTTTCCCTTCCAAAGAGTGACAGTCGAAGAGGCTCATGGGAGATGCAGGCAGCCCGTTGGGGCGGGGCCGCGGGCGGGGCGGCTAGGCAGGGGCGGGGCGGGCAATAGTTGGGTCCGTAGCACCGCGAGGGGTTGTTTAGGACCAGCCCCCGCGTGGCAGGACTTGGAACCGTGCGAAGCCGCCTCAGCTGAGCTGTAGAAGGAGGCTAGTTCGCTCTCAGTCTTTCACAGCCGCGTCGGATTGCGTGTCTAAGCACACACACAACGTCCAGGGATATTTTGGCTCCATCGGTTTGAAAGCACGTGAAGTTGTTTTGAGTTTTGTTTTCTTTTTCACTGCTGTGAAATAAATCTGGGTATTAAAAGTGAGGGTGCCATCTCTTAAAACACCAAGACGGTACCAGCAGAATCAAGGGATGCATTCCAGCACAAGCAATCTACACGTTTCCCTGAAATGTGCATTGATAGGTGTCACTTGTTCCATGGTCGGTAACACCTTTAGGTATATTTTCTAGAACTTGAACACGTTATTAGTGATTGACGTTTACGCAGGATGAATATCTATGATGCATCATTTTGCATGCATCGGTAACAATGAAATTTCAACTCCAAGCATTGATGGACTCTATAACAATCATCTGTTGAGGGCCTTCTACTTGCTAGATGCTTGCAGATTATCAACTCAGGCCCTGTCACTCCTGGGAAATGCTGTTATGCTTATGTCAAGTGGTAAGCTGAGATTCAATAAATGTTGGCTATTGATTTTATGAACAATGAAACATTTGTGTTGTACTGGCTATCTTGGCACTTGATCAGTAGGCCAGCCAACACATATGTGGACTCTGCCTACCTAGGAAAGTGCATGACAAAAGAGGTGCAAATGACAGACCCAGACTCATAAGGAAATGCCAGACAGCAGTTTGTGAATCTCTTCTTCATAAAGCAATTCCTGAAGGTATTTACTGACCTTCAATATCCAAAGAAATAGTTGATGATAGACCCCAGTTTCCAACTGAAATCACCCTAGCCCCTTTGGGCATTTTGTAATAAAATAGTAATGGGAACTGCTTTAGGCTAGAGTCTTTAAAATCAAATATGTAGAAATTTGAGACACTTACTATACTAGCTGCTTAGTTCTGTGTAACAAATTGCCCTGAAAGCTAGTCATTTAAAATAGTAAACCTTTATTATCTTACATTTCCTGATAGGGTAGGAATCTAAGCAGCATAGATGAGTGATTGTGACTAAGGATCTTTGCTGAGGCTGCAGTCAAGGTACTGGCTGGGGCATCAGTCATCTGAAAGCTTGACTGGGAGTAAAGAACTGCTTGTAAGTTCACTTACATGGCTGATTGCAGGAGGCTTTTGTTCTATACCATGAAGGTCTTTTCACAGTTGCTTATGACATGGCTGGTAGCTTACATCCTGACTTCTAGGAAGAAAGACACTATGTTGTTCCAGCTGGTCTTGAATTGTTGGGCTCAACTGATCCTCCTTCAGTAGCTGAGACTACAATGTGTACACTGGGACTACAATATGTACTCACAAATTTCTAATCTACAGAAACTGGGCAAGATAATATGTGTTGTTTTAAGCTACTAAATTTGGGGATAACTCATTGTATTTCAATATGTAGCTAATCCAAGAGGATCAACAAGAAGCCTTTCCTCCCTATCTGTCCTGCTACCTTCTAGAGCAGGTCTCTGGCCATTGTTTGGTTTTGGGGTTTTTTTAGGTCCGGTCATGGGGCCTGAACTCTGGGCCTGGGTGCTGTCCCTCAGCTCTCCAGCGCTCTACCACTTGAGCCACAGCGCCACTTCCGGCTTTTTCCTTTTTGCTTATGTGGTGCTGAGGAATTGAACCCAGGGCCTCATGCATGCAAGGCAAGTGCTCTACCACTGAGCCACCTTCCCAGCCCTTCTCTGGCCATTGTTAACCCCAAGGATGAACTAATTCAGGGAGATGGTTGGTTTCCTTTTGGTTATATCTCTACATGAGCAATGATCTTCTCCAGAAAGAAGGGCTTGGTAAAATGATGACATACTAAAGCTTCGCATTAGTATGTCAATAGATGGCAGCAGAGAGAAGAGAATAATGTACCACAACTAGCTGCCTCCATAACCGGAGTGAGAGCTTTTACACTGCACTGAAAAGTTTGGAACTACCTTGTGGGTGCTGGCAACAATGGAACTCCCTCCCTGATCCTATATTATGTTTATGTCTGGTTACCCCCTCGAGCATTTCCTACCCTTGAAGGATTAGATAGATGATGATTCAGTGAAGGAGAACTTGCTTACTATGAAAACTTCTAGAAACTTTGGGAAGTCAGTGGACTTCTAATTATGTGCCAAGACCCCACATACATTCTCTGAAGACCTGACTTTGAGAAAAATACAATGATCACCTTCCTATTTTATTTTATTTGATAGGTCATGGGGCTTGAACTCTGGGCCTGAGCACTGTCCCTCAGCTCTTCAGCTCAAGATGAGCGCTCTACCACTTTAGCTTACAGCACCACTTCGGTTTTTCTGGTGGTTTATTGGAGATGAGTCTCACGGAGTTTCCTGCCCGGGCTGGCTTTGAACCGAGATCCTCAGATCTCAGCCTCCTGAGTAGCTAGGATTACAGGTGTGAGCTACCAGCACCGGGCCACTTTCCTATTTTAAAGAGAAGGGGGACACTGAGTTTGTTTGTTTTTTTGGGGGGGGTTGGTCATGGGGCCTGAACTCTGGGCCTGGGCAATGTCCCTCAGCTCTTCAGCTCAAGGCTAGCACTCTACCACTTGAGCCACAGCGCCACTTCTGGCTTTTTTCTTTTTGCTTATGTGGTGCTCAGGAATCGAACCCAGGCCTTCAGGCATGCAAGGCACGCGCTCTACCACTGAGCCTTCCTAGCCCCATACACTGAGATTTTTTTTAAAAAATAGCTTTTCCCACATGCCACCAAATTTTGTTTTATAATAGCAAGCTAAAGCACTAGGTGAAGCTACCTGTTCTGTTTATTCTAACAAGGTCAAGAATGGTTAGAATGTGGTCAAGGTCATGTACTACTACTGCAGACTGAGGCCCCTTTTGTGTATTTGGGTGGAGTCCAGTTTGCAGGACCCCAAGGGATGAATGCCTATTCTTCCTTCCTAGGTAAGGAAAGGAGGCCCACAAGAGAGAAGGTTCGAGTATTTTTATGAGATTGCTTGACTTGAGAATGTAAAGGCTTCATTCTCCTATTGTTTTGTCTCTTTGGGGTTTTTGTTGTTGTTGTTTTGTTTTGTTTTTTGCTTTTTTGTCGTGGGGCCTGAACTCTGGGCCTGGGCACTGTCTCAGCTCTTCAGCTCAAGGCTAGCACTCTACCACTTGAGCCATAGAGCTACTTCCAGCTTTTTCTGCCTATGTGGTGCTGAGGAATCGAACCCAGGGCCTCATTCATGCAAGGCAAGTACTCTATCATGGAGCCACCTTCCCAGCCCCTCTCTCTGTTTACATTTTTAGTTTTGAGCTAAGATCTGTACATCCCAGGCTGCCCTCAAACTTCCAATCCTCTTTTTGCCATCACCCAAGTACTGGCTTTACAGGTGTGGACTAATTCAGCCCCAGTGTTTTCAATTAATTACACAGAGGCATCACTAACTAGGATATACTAAGCTTCTTGTGGAATGGCTGAATGGATACAAGATAAGCTTCAAAACATCTGCTTCTACTTTGGGTGCTTGGAAAGGATCTGCTTTCCAGTACATTTTATATTGTCCCTACAGGATGCCAGGTGTCGTGGTACATATCTGTAATTCCCTCCTGAGAGTAGAAGGAAGGGGGAAAACAACTAAGCTAATCCTGTAGTCAAAGGACTGTTTACAAAGGCTTTGTGGCTGCCTACTGCCTCATAACTCATTGTGTGCTACAACAGAATACCTGAGCCCCAGTAGTTTAAAAAAAAACAGAACTTTTTTTTTTTTTTGTCAATTGTAGGGCTTGAACTCAGGGCCTGGGTCCTGTCCCTGAGCTTTTGTGCTAAGGGTCTCACAAACTTTCCTGCCCAGGTTGGCTTACAAACCTCGATCCTCAGATCTTACCCTTTCCCCCGCCCCTCCCCCAGTCGTAGGGCCTGAATTCTGGGCCTGGGCGCTGTCCCTCAGCTGCTCAGCTCGAGGCTAGTGCTCTACCACTTGAGCCACAGCATCACTTCCAGCTTTTTCTGCTTATGTGGTGCTGAGGAATCAAACCCAGGGCCTCAGGAATGCAAGGCAAGCACTCTACCACTGAGCCACCTTCTCAGCCCAGATCTTAGCCTTCTAAATAGCAAGGATTACAGGTGTGAGCTATGGGCACCCAGCCAGAAAAACAGAACTTTATGTACCCTATTTCTTACAGTTCTGAAAGCTGGAAATCCAAGATCAAGGCACTGGGATCTCAAGTGGTTAAGAACCTTCTTGCTTCATCTTATCACAGTGGTGGAAGAACAAGGAGGGAACCAGCTAAGTCCTCGTAGAGCAGCTGAGAAGATAACAGAGAACTTCCTCCACCTTTTATACCAGCACTTACCCAGTCTTGAGAGCTTCATCTCAAGACATAAACACCCCCATAAAGCCCCACCTCCTGACACTGTTGCATTGGGGATCAAGTTTCAACATTCATTTCTGGAAGGAACAAAAACTTTCAAACCAGAGGACCCTGTGTGCAGTTCAAATGCTTTTTGGCATCTTTGATCTGTCCAAGTTCAAAGAGCTGCTCTTCAACGATTGCTCAAGGGTGTTAACAGTTCCTCTAGGCCTAGTGCCATTATAGATTTAATAAATTGGATAAATAGCTCTTATTTAAGGTCTTTCCAGACAAAAATGCCAGCCCTCGGTTGGGTGCTACAAATCCTGGAACATTTCTAAAGTTCCTTTACAGTTAATCAGTACCTTTTATTTA